TCCTCCTCCTCCTCCTCCTCCTCCTCCTCCTCTTCCTCAGCGCCACTGGAATCACCATGCAGTGGCCATGAGGCTTAGAAAATCATAAAATCCACTTGCTTTTGTGTCCAACTTTACATGTCTTCCATGTAACACTTTCCTATTTTTAACAAAAGCTGGATTTTGATATTTTAATTCCCTGTTGCTTTTCATGATTGAAAATTTGTTTTTTTGATTCTGCCAATAGCCATTATTTCCTTGTTTATAAATTAATCTATATTATATTATGTGATTTTAAATAATACAGACTTGAAATGAAGACAACTTCTATATCCTGTAAATCAGGGGTCCCCAACAGAGGGATCTGTCTATGGCCTATTAGGAACCAATCTGCAGAGCAGGAGAGGAGGAGCAGGCATGCAAGCAAAGTTCCATCTGTATTTACCACTGATCCTCATGCCTGGCTCTACCACCTGATCATCTCCTCCTGTCAGATCGGCAGTGGTGTTCCAGTCTCACAGGAGCATGGAGCCTGCTGTAAACTGCGCACGGGAGGAACCTGGGTTGCATGCTCCTTAGAATCATCCTGAAACCATACCCCACTCCTGGTCTGTGGAAAAATTACTTTCCACAAAACCAATCCCAGGTGCCAGACAGGTTGGGCAATGCTGCTGTAAAGTGTCTCTTCAGAGTTTAAAGCAATTTGTATTTTCAGTCAAAACTTCATTAGTTTTGAATAAAACAGCATTTTTTAGTGCATTCAGTGATTCTCTTTTTCTCTTGTTAAACCAGTTGGAAATCTACATCCTTAGGTCCTGTCTTTGCATTATCTATTTCCCTGCAGTCCCCTCACCATCCTCTGCACCTTTATACTGACTATCTTTTATCTGCTATAAGTTTTAGTACCTCTTTGTTTTTGTCTGTTTCTTTTTGTATGCCAGGGACTGAACCCACAGCTAGGACATGCTAGACAAGGGCTCTAAAAATCAACTACAATCCTATACCTACTAGTTATCACTTGAATGTACTTTCTTTATTTTATTTCTCTCACTGATAACTTTTTTCAAAATACTAGTGTCCTTGGTGTGAACTATTAAAATTACTTGCTATCTTTCCCCACATTGATTAAGCTTAATGTGACCTACCATGAACTATCTCCTACTACCTTATCAACTACTTCTACTTAATCAATTAATGACAATAAAAATAAAATATCTACAAAATAAAGTTAATTTGTTGACAACTTCATTAATTGTCCAAAGTCCATATGATTTTGTTTTTGAAAATATGACACAGTCATTATATAAAACACACTCTTGATGTCACCCTGCTGTCTTTATCAATAAAATGTTGTGATATTTCAAGCATATCAAAATTCATAAAATGTGGCATGTTCTTCATGTGAACTTGGCTACTTGAAACACAAAAGGCAACTCATATATCCCCACATAGTTTGGATTTTTTTGCTAGCCTTGACTCAAAAAGTCAATTCCTTAGTACAAGGTTATCTGGAAATTAAATTTCTCCTCATCTGCTGTCATGTTAGTATGCAACAACCACTTGCCATCTATTTCTTCTGATCTTAATAGGTGCAGAGATGGGAAAGATCTTTCAAATGATGCACAGTTTTATCATTTATAACTTTCTATGATGGCATAATTTCCTCTCATGCATCCTTTGGACAACAACCTATACAACGAATAGAAATATCCATATTTCCTTAGACAGTCATCTTCATTTCACCCCTTCTACCTCTCCATTTACATACAACACAAAATCTTGCCATAGAAGATTGATAGTTAATTTCACATCCTCATGTCCTTTTTTTACTTGGTCTAGTCTCATATTTAACCTACACCTATACCTTTAAATATTATCACAATTCACAAAATGCATTCCTCTCTACTCAATCGCTTACCCATGTATGTATTTTGGGGTTATCATTTCATCCTTCTTTATGACAGCTCTGGGTCATACATTGATGATGATGATAAAAATGACTACTGAAAAGCCACAAGTGCTTTAGAAGTATAATTCCATCTAATCTTCACAAAGCACTATGATTATCCTCTTTTTGGAGATGAGGAAACAGTTTCGATGTTAAGAAATTTAAACAAAATTAGGAACTAAATAAAAAATAAGCTGAGTCCAAATCCAATTTTAATTGTCTTTAAATTAATAACCTTAACCTTCTTTAACTTCTTCACTTTTCACTTATTCTTTTCATACTACTGATATAGTAGTAAATATATGTTCAGTACATTAATAATAAGAGACAATGCATTCAGGACTTCCATCTACTGCCCATTCTTCTTTTAGCTCCCTGGTTTACTTGAAGCAATCCACATGAATCAACCCCAACCCTTTATAGTCCACTTTTGTTTTTGAACCCCACTATGATTATCCAATGGTTATAAATGTCCAGTGGGTCAAATCCTAGTCTCTCTCTCCCTCTCTCCCTCTCTCTCTCTCTCTCTTTTCAGCTTTCAATATGATTTTTATTTTAAAACATTCGATAAAGAAATTCTTCTCCCTTGGTCTGTTTAAAGACATACCTCTGGAAATACATATACGCATAACTATATACATACACATTTTTTCTTATCACTCATAGTATCTTTTAATTTTGTTTTCTCTTATGGAATCCTTTCATAACTCACACATATTATGATTTTCCAGAATGGATCCAAACCTCTGTTCTTTCTCAACACTGCATCATATAGTAATCCAAAAGAAGGGTTCTTAACATGGCTCTTAAATAAGTATATGGAGCTTATTTTTCCTAAAATCTCTAACTCCTATGGCTTAATTTATTTATGGTTAATTCATTTTCTTTTTTGTATCTTGAGTCTAGCTTTTCCAACCATTCCTACAACCAGATCCCCAATATATAATTAATATAGCTTCCTACCTGTAACCCTTCTGTGAAGTACCTTCCTAATACCGTTTTCCTTAAGAATCATATTCCCCATCAAATTTTTTTTCAATGAAGAAAGTTGGAAGGAGTTTTAGCTCATCCTCTGGTTTTACCTCCAAGAGTTTCTAATTTGTTTTATAATTTGGGGTCGAGTTTAAGCCATAATTACTGCCATAAGTAGGGTCGTCTGGATATTTGTGACTCTCATTTTCCACTTTTTCCCCTCCAAGTAATGGGTGGGTAATAAGTGGACCAAGGGCTTGAATTCTGCATGACCCAACTCGTGTTTTTCTTCATGCAAGCCTATACCTACTGATAATTGCATATCATTTTTATAACACAAGCCAGTCAAGGGAGATGAAATTTAAAATTTATATTAGGAAGAGAAAAATGTAAAATGCTACACTTAACATTCTGGCCAACATTTCCATGAGTTTTGTTTTTTTTTTAACTATATTTTTGCATGGGTACTCTAACTCAAGACCCTTGGATTTACTTTCTCCCATTATCCTTAAACACCTCCTTAAAAATACAACATAATACTAAATCTAGTGGTTAATTTTTCTCAGTAACAATTTATAAGAACAGAAGGAACATCATGGAGCTGCTTTTGGTGGCTACCACTGAGAGGGTAGGTGAGAAAGACATTTCCTTTCACCTTCCCTTTTCATAACTTCAGCAATTATTAACAAACTCTAGGTCCAAATCCTACTTCTTCAATTGTCATCTGTCAATAAATTTTCATTTGTCTCTCCAAATAAATTTCTCAGTCATTTCCAGTACTTTTCCATTCTGATCTTTATTTCAACATTTTATGACTTCATTAAGCCAAAGCATTAATGTGCTTTGAAACACCAATTCAACATATTATCTTCACAGAATTCTTAATTTCTCTAGGATAATCTCAATTTGTATAGGAAACAGTGTAAATCTCTTTTTTCTGGTTGCATTATTTATTGAGACACAATATATGTGAGAAACAATATATGTGCCCAAGATTTCTGAATGCACTTCTATCAAAGAGACTGAATCTACATCCTTCCTGTCTCCTCCCAGTGCATACTACATTCTAAAATATAGCTCTTTAAGGAAAACTTTGTCTTTTCTCCCACCTTATATAAAGAGGTGTCATAGTCTCATACTGACATTTTAACTGTTTTGAAAAGGTAATAAATTACAAGAATTTGTTTTTTTAATTAGGAAGCTGGTAGATTTTGAATGTGTTTCCAGAAAAGTATGTTTTGGGAAAGTTAATCCCCAACACAACAGAGTTGGAATGTGGAGACTAATGTTGGTGATGAGGCTATCAAGACAGAATGAATGAGTGAATGAATGCCATTGTCATAGAAGAGGGTTCATAATTAATAGAAAACTCCATGACAATGAATGCAACTCACTTGCTACAGCAGATAAAATCATATTTTGAATTATAAAATTAAACTTCACTCTGTAAGTGTACAAAAAGATTAAACATATTTTTATATATCATGACCAGCATCTTTTACTTATATTTATTGAATTAGTTTGTGATTTTATCTTGGAGTAGGAGAAGATGTTTTTACGAAAAATGATTAAATCAAGTGCAGAAACATAAATGGTAAAATTTTGACACAGAAAGATAAATCTAGTGAGTAGGATAAAGTCCATAATCACCAAAATATAAATATTTCAAAGCCCAATGATAATAGTATGAAATAATTGGTCAGATTTTTCCCACCTCTCACTTGAGACCAAAGCCAAATGACAGAAGAGCAGCCATTTTCTCTGGGATCCATTCACAGACTATGCAAATGACTGAGACAGAAGTAGTAATACAAGAAGTGTGAAAAGTCACACTTTTCTAATATAAAGCAGCAAGATGTAGTTTTAATCAAAATTCCCAATTTTATTTTTTTAAAAGGAGCAAAATAAAAAGGTTTTTACATTAATAATATCTAGCTCCCTCACAAATATTAGGGTTTCATAAAGTGTGGAAAATGTCATCTCATTTAATTGAATTTGAAATTTTCTCTATTATAAATAGAAAAGTAAGTGTCTTCATATACCAGGCACATATGCAGAGAGAATGTAGTCAGGTATGAAGAGCTAATATTCCTCAATAAAAAGTAATAACTTGTGTAGGTTAGCAGTTTAATATATTCTCTCCTTGATGTTACTTACAGGAGCACCTTTCTCTCCAGCTGGTCCAGGAGGTCCCTGGGGTCCTGGACGCCCTGGCAAACCAATGGGGCCAGCGCTCCCTGCTGATCCGCGTTCTCCTGGTGAGCCCTAGTACACAAGAAGGGAAATATTTTAATGATGAAAAAAAGGACAGTGACTTAACATTCACTTAATGATCAATGGAATCTTACAGTTCAGTAAAAATTGCAGAAATAACTTTTAGACAATTTTAAGATCTCCAAAAGGAATTGCTGTAACCACTATTTGGAAAACTAATTTCTAGTTCCAATACTAAGTACAAACGTTGAAGTTAGGAAAGATTGATGACATGAAAAAACACTTTAAAACTGTATATATTTAATATTGTACATATTTTTTCTTTTTTATCTGTGTTTACAATTGTGCAAAATATAAAACATGCAACCATTATATCTAACCTTTCATATAGTTTTCTTTTTGTATTATAAAGGATTTGCAGAATGCACTCCCTATACTACTATTTCTTAAAATGACTTCTGAGTTTCAATTCAAAGCTGCTAAATCAAAATTTCTAAATCCAAAAAATGACTTCAGAAATTCTTAAATATAATTACATTTAAATTCTTAAATATATTAAATTATATTTAAATTCTTAAATATATTAAATTATATTTAAATTCTTAAATTATATTTAAATTCTTATATATAATTATATGAAGTTTGATAATCAGTAACCCAGAATTGAGACTTTTCCCCAGAGAATAAGTCCTCAAATTTACTTGGAGTCCTCTAGGGATCATTGGGTCCTATTATCTACTGAGTAGATAATTCCTATCTGATTGGGTTTGCCCAATTCACCTTTAAGATGTCATATATATTATAATTTGCTTTACAAAATCTCATATAAAGTTTTTAAAAAATAAGTTTGTAGATACTGCTTTCATATCAATTATCTGTAGCAACAATTTCAAAACAATATTTAGTGCAAGAATAAGAGAAATACAAACATATATTTACCAAATTAAGCAAAGCTCAAATATAATCTATTTCTAATTGTATTTAATAAAGTATAACTGTCGTGTTTGGATTAGTTTACTAGCTGAGTGATTAAGTTACAATTTACCATATTATTTCATGATTGAATCAAATGTAGAAATAGCTTCACATCGGTTTCACTAGGAAACATTATCATTAGCATCTTTCTTTAGGAATTAACATCCTTATATAATGATATGATTTCAAAATTCTCAGAGGAAATGATTTATAAAACCTGAAAATATATTACTTTAACACTTACTGTATTTGCAAATGTAATACATCCCCCTATATTAAAAATTATTTAATTGTACAAATGTGAAGTACTGAACTTGTTATAATTTATAATTTAATTAGTTTAGGAACTAATTACTCATGACTATGAGAACAATGGTAATAATACCCATAATTTGTGTTTATAAATTAGTTCATTTTTAAAAATTTTACTCTTACAGAAATTCCTTATAAAATTCCAATAAGTTGATAGTGTAGTTGTAGCGCCTCACTTTTAAAACTGAGGAACCTGTGGTCCAAGGTTATCTATGGACAGGTTAACCCTCCTCAGAATCATGTAACTAGCTGAGGGAACCCTGACCTTAGAATCTAGTCAGCGTTTTCTCCACAAAGGCATCCACTGCTTCTCTCTGATGAGTGTATCAATAACTCCCAATGGGTATTTACTTAAAATTTCATTCAATTCAATCCACATTCAATTTTTTTTTTTTTTTTTGGTACAGGGGATCGAACTCGGGTCCTTGTGCTTGCACAGCAGGCAGTGAAACCACTGAGCTAAATCCCTGGCCCAATCCACATTCAATTTTACTGAAATACACATTGATTACAAAGAGTTGATGCAAATTTTACCTTTTAATTTTCTGATATTTTCTTGTTAAATTTACCAACTATACAGAGTTATTTTTAATCTGGTTATATGAATACTAAAGCAATTAAAGTGAAAGGAAAGGATGTAGGTATGAGGATACAGGAGATAAAAATGACAAAGTATGATTTTTGTTGTTATTGTTCTATAAGTAATTGAACCACTGTTGTAATTTTTGTAATTTAGGGATATTTTAAACAGAGGAGAATGAAATGATTTGGAGAAACTATGCCAAAAATGTGGTTAAATAAATTGTGAAATTTGAACTTTATTTAAATAAAGACTGAGATTTTTGAAGTATGCACATGTATATAAAGACAAACCTAAAAATATTCTTCATATGTATAATAATTAATGAAGAATCCTTGAAATTACATATTTACCCATCAAGTATTCCACCTACTAAAAACAAGGACAGTTACAAGAGAATTCAGTTAGTATTTTCCAAATAAAACACATCTACAATTCTCTCAATCTGTATTTTTAATCTAATAATAAAATATTTGTTTGGAGATGAGTGAATCACAAGTGGTATATCTGTGAACCAAGTGGCAGGTTTGGGGTGAATAATGCCAGAGACTAGTCCAAAATAAAAAATAATAATAGTAGAGTCTTCTAAGTGTTGTACATTCAAAAAGTGCAGCCCTAAGGGTGAAAATAACACAAATATTTGTCTGTAATTATTCGCTGGAAAAAGGAGAAAGAAAATGAGGGGAGATACATGGGAAGGGTAGAAGAACAAGACAGAACAAGTTTCCTGAAATGAGAGCAATGCAAAATATTTCAAAATAAAAAGAAATTTGTATTATAACTTAATGGATACATTATGAAAGCCATGTTGCATGAAAATAAATCATGGCTTTTACTGAAGAAAAGAATGCTAAATTGATAGTTGGACACACTTAACATTTAAAATTAATATATTTCAAATAATTATTTTCATATATCTCAAGTAGAGACAAAATGCTGATTTGAATGTATGAAAGCATGCATTGTTTATAGATATCATACACTATTTTCTCATTACAAAGCATAACTATTTTAATTTCTTCCTTGGAGCATTCATAAGATTAAATTTTCGATTACCATCTTTCTTGTGGAACCTACATTAAAATTAATAACAAAAATATATTACTTTTCTGTAGTTAAAATATTGTTCATGGTCCTTGTCACAGCTCATAAACTTTGAAACAAATGATGGAAACAAGAAGAGACTTTTTCAATGTATATTTGTGCCCTGAAGTACAATTGCAATTTCCTTTTCTGCTAGTTACTTCAAAGTTTAGGTAAGCCTTGATATTTTTAATAATAGCATGCTCTGCAGCGATTTTATTTTATTTATAAATAATGAAGCATGAAAATCTCTGATGGTCCCTACTGATTAAGTAAATGATATATAACAAATTATAAATCTTAAATATTCCCAGTCCAACTTTAAAAGAATAAACTTTATGAATCCTTTAATTTCAGCTTAACCACTGGAGAAGTTCTATCTCTGTTTTTAAATTAATGTTTAAATCCTATATTAAAGGAAGGTCTCATTTATACAGTCAACAAAAATATGAGAACCTACTTTCTTTTGACTCTGACTATGGATACAAAATGTAGTACAGCAGGTACCAGCCCTTGAGACATTTACACTGCAAATGATGCTTTTTTTCTATAAAGGGTAGGGATCTATAATGATAAAAATATTTGCATTGTTGTACAGCTAACAATAGTAAAGAAGCTTTTATAATTATCTGATAATTAAACAAGTACATCTAAATCATTTACATTTAAATATTAGTTTAAACAGATGATGATCAACTCCACAAACTTGGGATTCTGCTTGCTTAACCCAATGATCCCTGCACCTGGAATAGTTACTAGCACACAGCTGGCCCTAAATAAATACTGTATGTTGATTGGACATATAATCATTCCCTTTCCAAGCCCTGGAAACAATAGTTTTCTATAGCTTTCTGATCCTGAGCAAATTCAATAAAGAAATATTTGGTCATCAGATTTTGTGATGTTTAATGTGTTGATATATCTGAGGTATTTGAACAATGCATTTATGACTACAATGAATATTAGATAACTATACATGAATAAGTATATATTTTAAAAATAGATATATAATCTCCAGTAATTATAGACATTATAGAAGAGAAAATTAAGATCTAGGAAGGTACATGGCATTGCTAAGGTCATATTGTTAATTAAGGAGAGCACTTTTTTCACATTGCATATTTTACCTCCCTAAAGAAATGATGAATATTTTTCATATCAAAAGTGCTTCACTGGAGAAAAAAAAAAGAAAGAAAACCAAGTGCTTCATTGGAAAGAATTTGAGGAAAAGGGGCTGAAATTATAGAGACATCATTTTCCTAAATATGTAGGTTAAGCCATAATGGACATTACTATTTAAAAGTTCTGCAAGGTTGTTTCCAGAAATTTGCCATTATAATACTTCAACAGCAGCTGTACAGGGGCAGTCACCTTTTTGAGGTGCTGATTTCATCTTCTTTAGGGTCTTAATAATACCATACAGTGTACTTGTTTGTTATTCCAAAACTTAGTTTTCAACTTGAATACTAAAGTTAATAAAATTGATTGTGTGAAGGCTTCTTGTTAAATGAGTAGATCTTAGTTGCTCTTAACATAAAAACATAATTCTGTAAAATAATAGACATGTTAATTTGCTTCACTATAGTAATTATTTTTCTAACTATAAGTGTCCCATAACATCATGTTTTATTTATTTATTTATGTTTTTGCATTGGGGCTCAACCTCAGGACCTTGCACTTGGCGAGGCAGGCGGGGGAACCACTGAGCTAAATCCCCGGCCCAACATCATGTTTTAAATTTTAAATATAAATTTATTTATAAAAAACATTTCTAAAGGCAAGGATTTAGCCTTTAGAATGTATTGAATTACACAAATTATGGTAAACATATAATCATAAATATTCTGTTATTTCAATACTAAGTATAATCACTGTAGGAAACAAGATTTTTTCTCGTATTTTTCAGAACATGCTTTTAAAAAGGAGGAATTCAATTTCTCTGTTTAGTTACCCTTATTTACTTTTATTTTAGCTTTATCCCTTCTGCAACTCCTTTTCCTTAATTTTGCAGCACCTTCTTCTAAACCTTATACTGGTAATGAAACAGTGATAAAATCAGCTTATATACTTGGAGTGGTGATGACAGTGACTAAGTCTCTAA